TTGGAGGCTATGTTGGGCATATGTTGGGGATATGTTGGCTATCTTGGGCCTATGTTGGGGATATGTTAGGCGATTTATGTTGAAAAAATCTTCCGATACAACTTTTTACGATTTTTCCTTCCCGCAAAGCAAAAACCATGAAAAAAAAAACCTAGGTTTTTTGACATCGCCAAGATGAAATTCTCGGCTGCCGAGGGGCCCGAAACCCTGTAAAACACAGTGTTTTTTATACCTCACACACACGATACACTGTAAATTACAGGGGCTTCAGTTGACCGGTCGTCCCCCCGTTTTGGGACCGAGGGTCGGCGGCAGCCAGGGCCAGCGTCTATAACCTTCGGTTACCACCGAAGGCCCTCCGGGCATGCCACGGGCTTCGTGGCCGGCGCCCGGATTGTAAGGGCTTCGCCCGGGTGCCGCCGACCCCTTTTCAAGAGGAGTGTAGCATGTGTAACTGAAGGCGTTAGTGTCGTTCCGGTTGCCCGTCTGCGGAAAGAAGATGGGTGTTCTAGGCCTCCGACAGGCTAACTGTGGCCTGTGCTAAAGCCCACAAAGGTGGAGATGCCAATGCCAATAAGGTTGCACTCTGCGAGGCGCCGAGAAGCGTCTGAGGGGGGCCGTCGCCTTCGGAAGCCTAGAAAAGAAGAGGCTGGCCTCGGCTGCTAGCGCCGTACGTGGCAGCCCAGGCCATGCCAAGGCTGCGTGGCCTCGGACAGGCTGGCTGTGGCCTGTGCTAAAGCCCACAAAGGTGGAGATGCCAATGCCAAGGTTGCACCCTGCGAGGCGCCGAGAAGCGTTTGAGGGGGGCCGTCGCTTCGGAAGCCTAGAAAAGAAGAGGGTGGCCTCGGCGGTTAGCATCGTATGTGGCAGTTCAGGGCATGCCAAGGCTGCGTGGCCTCGGACAGGCTAGCTGTGGCGACCAGTACAGGAGTTGGCCTCTTGATCCAAGATCATACCCGTACGCCAAAGATCTCAAGGTTTTTTGGGGTTCCCTTGTCGTGTTGCTTCGTTGGATATTTTTTGGGGCCGCAGAAATCCAGATCCCTGCGTCTCAGACGTCTCAGATATGGCGCGCCTGATTTTTTGTCCATCAAACATCTTCCGTTTGTTGATTAGCTGGAACAGGCCTGCCGGCTGCCGAGAGGCTTTTGACCGGTCCAAAATGCCTATAACGTCGCCTTCGGAAGCCCATAAGAAGAGAGGAGGCAGGCTTCGGACAGGCCACAGAG